TTCCCCAGCCACCACTGCACCTGCGGTATTGGTACTGGATGCCGGGAGTGCAGTCCCCATTGAACTTGCTGCCAAAGGCAGGCAGCCTCTGCAAGGGGCCTCGGGGCAGGGGCCGCCTGCGGGCGCCGGCTCCCACATGTCTCCCTGTGGCCGCCCTCAGGCCGGGCGCTGCCTCTGCTGCCAGCCCCGTCCAGCAGCTGGGTGGGTGCTGCCCCTTCTTTTTTAAAAGCTATTTTATTGATGCAGAGAGGAAGGGAGAGGGAGAGAGAAACATCAATGATGAGAGGGAATCATGGGTTGGCCGCCTCCTGCACGGCCCTCACTGGGGACCGGATCCACGGCCCGGGCATGAGCCCTGACTGGGATCGAACCATGACCTCCTGGTTCGTAAGTCGACGCTCAACCCCTGAGCCACACGGGCGGGCTGTGCTGACGCTTGTAAGGGCTCTGCAGACCTCAGGAGGTGGCCTGGAGCCTAACGTGGGCTGGAGAAAGAGCCCGCCCACCCGTCACCTGTGCCGAGTCCTCTGCGCTCAGAGGCTGGGCCGGGCCTGGGGCCAGCAGGACACAGCATGTCCTGGTGACTCACAGCTCTCCTGACGGCAGCGTCTCTTCTGAATCATGCTCCACCCACAGAGGCCACTGAATAACCTTCCAGAAAGCCCCGACCCTGAGAACTACCCTGCCGAGCCCCCCCTACCCCGCTTCCCGCACCCCTATCCCAGCCCCGTTGCTTTAGGGCCCGACGCCTGGGCGCTTTCCCCAGAGCCCCGTCTGGTCCTGGGCCCGGCCTGGCCTGGGGACACCGCCTGACGAACCGCTTCTGGCCCCGGGCACCCGAGGAGGCGCCAGGCGCAGTGTGTGCGTTGTGGGGTGTGCAGCGGGGCCAGGCCCAGCGGGCCCTGCGTGTCTGGGGGTGGCATCACACAGTGTCCCTCTGAGGACTGGTGAGCCATGGCAGCGAGACGAGCACTTGGCTTTGGTGGCACTCGGTCCTGAAACCCTCCTGCTAGTGATGATGGTGATGACACCAGTGGTGACGGCTGGAGACTGAGGGCCTCCGCCCGCTCGCCACCCCCAGCATCTGAGCTCCGGGCAGCTGTGTGCGTCTCCCAGGCCAGGGCCGAGGCTCAGGGAGCAGCTTCTCACAGGCGCCCGCTCAGCAGGCGGTCAGCTCTCCGCTCTGACCCACTCCCCCTCTCATCTCCTCCGAGAAGGGCTGCTGGCGCCACGCCGAGGGCGGGAACGTGTGGCGGCCACAGCCCCCGGTGCCCACTTCGGGGAGGTGAAGATGGCCTGATGGACCCAGGTGGCCTGCCACCCACCCACTGGCCATTACTAGGTCACGGTTGTGTCGGCCACGGCCTCTGTGCAGGTGTGGCCTGTGCCCCCTGCGGGTGTGGAGGGGCGGCTCCCGGGAGCCGCCAGGGAGCCTCTGACGTCAGCAGCCTGCACCTGTGCCCGGGGCCCTGGCCTCCGTGTTGGTTCTTGTTACGGCCACAGTGTTGCTGGGAACGTGTTTGGCTGTGGGAGGCCGGCCGCCCACAGGCCAGGGTCTCATTCTGCCGTCAGAGGCCTGCAGGCTGCGGGCACCAGCCATCTTCATCCTGGGCTTGGGGAAGGCCTGAGCCACACCCAGGGGTTGTCCTGGTGCCGCCTGCGTGCCAGGGCTGCTGGGCACAGGTGACAGGTGCAGAATGAGGGACGAGCCAAAGCCACTCTTCCCTCCTCTTGCCCAGGATGGAGGCCGTGGGAAGGGCAGGGGGACACGGGAGAGGGAAGGAGTGAGAAGAGGGAGTGGGAAGGAGGGGGCTGGGAGGCAAGCAGGAG